CACAAATTTTTCCACTAGTTGTAATTTCTTTAAATATACATTAAAATGAATTCAACATACTGTAGTAAACAGATAAATGGAGACGTCTTTTAGTCATTAATTTACACATTCAGCAACACACAGGAGCTCTTTCAAGCTTGTTTCATTCACAACACCTGTCCCATCAACTAGGAATCCGAATCCAAGTCTAAAATACTTTAATAATCCCAGGGCGAAATTACTTTTGTTACGGTACGTCATATGTAAAAGAGTGACTATAGGACCAGTTTGATATAACACAATTTCATGCATAATTAGGCGGTCCCTGCTCCATCTCGCCATTAGTTTGGGGGCCCTTGGCCTGGAAAACGTTGACGACACCTGATTTAGAGACTAAAATAAGCACTTTTAAATTAAAGGACAAAAAACTAAAATAAAAATATAATATTCCAAATTAAGAGTTTTGCTGATAAAAATCCTTGACTTAACCAATAGAGACGCTTAATTTCATTCATCTTATCTATTTTTGTCTTCAGGCTTTGATCCTCCACTGCTGCTGATTCTGTATCTCTAAAACAACAAAGCACTTGCAAGAGCACAATTGACTCAGCATCATGACGGTTGTCCAGGGCTTTCATGTCTCGAGGGAACTTGTGTCTGTTGGGATGTGTGTTTGATTAACTGGCTTGACCTTGCTACTGTAGACATTAATGACATCCTGGGTTTTTTGTGCTTGTTTGTGACTCTTCAGAAGAGTATAATTGGAAAGAATAATATGCTGCTACAGATGTGAAAGAAAAAACAATCAATATAGTCTGTCTAAAGTATACAACACAGCATTTTGGGTTTTATAAAGAACATAGTTAGCAAATTTCCTCCAAAAATTAAGGCTCAAAAATCCATCTATGTAGTAATTTTATGCATTAGATCTGTCAAGCTGAGTTTAATTTCCTGCTAGACAGTGTGACCACATACGGACTGAGTTGTAGCACTCTAATCCTCATGGTCATCAGACAAGTAATTCTGCCTGTAGGCCTGGAACTGTGGCATAATTCGCTATGGTGAGTCTGTAATGTTCCTCAACATGATAATCCCTCAAAGAAATCCACCATTGCACACAGGCAGACAGACAGAGTTGGAGGTTGAATGTGAAAGGTCTCATATTATACTACATTTGGAAATAAAAAATATTAACCATGATGACCCCACAGCATGTCTTTACTGTTTGAGCAGGAAAAAAGATTAGGCAGTCTGTACCAAAAAACTCATTCAGTCGTCTTCTAAACAAGCTTTTTTGGCTCTCCTTTCCCCTGTCCTCTCGAAGGCCACGTGCCACAAACCGCAAGTATGACCAGCAGTCAGAGTTTGTAATGATGGCAGCTAGAAACAAATAATAATACAGTAGACAAAGGCAAACCTTAATCTATGGATGATACAGACTGCTATGTGCAGCTTATAAATAACAACACACAACAGAAGCAGATAAACAGATAACCGCTCATTGCCATTCATTTATGTTGTTAACAACAATAATGTAAATTCTTTATTCCATCAGAAGTATGGACAAATCTCAATTTAATCATTGCAAAACAGAGCACGGAGCATGTCTTCTAAATAGTGAACATTCATGTTTTTCAAGGGGTGGCTGAAAACCCTAGACAGTAAACAACCTTTTGATTAAAAAAAAACAAAAAAAAGTACACCAACTGATAGGCCGAGCCCTGCCTAACCATCAGCCGACCAGCCTCCTTCCACTTGGCAGCCACCTTCCCTCCTGCAAGCTCCTGAATTACCCGCCTACGGACTTCCGTAGTCCCGCTCACTAACCCCGTTGGATTGTTCACATCTCATCCAGTAAACCATTTATTGCTGTCATTCTCATTGTGCACATACTCACATTAAGTCTTGCTCTCTCTTGCAGTGTGCCTCACGCTCTCTTTATTTTCAGACGCCCTGAGGAAACTCTGCATGTCATCTCTGTTTTGTTTTTTGTTTTTATATAAACAATCCTAAATCTGTCCTACCTGTTTCCTCAGTGTGCTGTGCATGTGGATCAGAAAAATAGGGACCTTGACAAATGTTTAGTAGAAGCACACTGTGTAACCAAAAGTTACACAGTGTGTGTTTAAAGTCTATCTAAAAGGAGCCAGTGAAAGGACTTCAGAACCAGGGTGAGGTGCTCTACTTTCTCAGTTCTAGTGAGAACACAGGCAGCAGCGTTCAGTTATATCAGTTATCAGTGTTGGGCAAGCTACTTGTCCATTGTAGTGAGCTAAGCTATCAGTTACTCAGCAATAAATTAAGCTTCACTACACAAAAGCTACCACCTAAAGAATTATAGCAAGCTAAGTTACATTAATGTGTTAAAAGTAGCTTAACTACATCAGAAGCTACTTAACGTTGTACCAACCTAATATCAATTCAAAATGAGTCTGACACACTGGTTAAAATATTTATTAAAGATCAGCCAATGACATAACACATTGCTTTATGATCAGCATATTAAAATAAAAACTAAAGTAATTACTAGTAGACAAACTAGTAAACAATCTGCTGTTATTAGAACCAAATTAAAGTTACTGTGTAGTGTTCTACACATGGAGACATGGCTATGAGTTTGCATTCAATGGACATCTCTAGGGAAAACGAAACCCTACAAAAGACCTCAATTAAACAGTTGATTCAAGTAACAAACAAAACTGTTTACAAAAGAAGGTGAAAAAATAAAGAAGCTAATTAAGAGATACATATATATATATATGTCTCACCATATAATTTAATTTCTACCTTCATATTTATTCATTGTATTTTTGGAGGCAATAATTAAATGCTTATTTATTTATTTATTGAGCATTTATTTATTTATGTATTTATTTTATATACGGTAGAGCTGTTCCTCCATAAAAAATGTTATCTGTGCAAAGCCTAAAAACAGATTTATGTAAACATCCTGTCAGGTAAACTAGGCCATGAAAATACAATATCGAAGTTTCATTACTGCTCTCTAATTAGAGTATCTTAGTGGCACATAGATATGGGAGAATTATCCTGCCATAATGCAAGAGCACATAACTTCAATTAGAGAAAAGAATTTCATCTTCTTGCTCTCAAAACTTATAATGCTCACACTCAAAACATGCGCTCTCTCTCAAATCTTTTCTCTTCTCTCTCAAATCTTTGTTTCTTCTCTCAGATTTAATGCTTCTTGCACAGATATTTTCTCCTCTCGCTCGCTTCCTTCTCCCCGCGCACAAACCGCGCTCTGTTTGAGTCTCAGATATGCTCGCAAACCCGTAGACTCTGCTTGCGGATTTGTTTTGCTCTCTCTCAGACTGTAGTTGGATCGTCGCCTAGCAACCTTTCTACGGTGGCCTGGAAGTGCAAACCAACAATACAAAATCTGAAACACTTTTACAAATCTTGAAACAAATTTACATTTCAGAAAACAAATTTACAACAAACGAAACACTTTTACAAATCTTGAAACAAATTTACATTTCAGAAAACAAATTTACAACAAACGAAACACTTTTACAAATCTCGAAACAAATTTACAAATCTTGAAACAAATTTACATTTCAGAAAACAAATTTACAACAAACGAAACACTTTTACAAATCTCGAAACAAATTTACATTTCAGAAAACAAATTTACAACAAACGAAACACTTTTACAAATCTCGAAACAAATTTACATTTCAGAAAACAAATTTACAACAAACGAAACACTTTTACAAATCATAAAACAAATTTACATTTCAGAAAACAAATTTACAACTGACAAAATCTTACGGAAAGGGAGGGACTGTCTTCGAAGCTTACCCGGAAGTGATAACCGGAGCGTTCATGATGACCCAAGATGGAAGCGAATCGAGTTGCGTTTTGCCCGTTCTGCGGCACTCATGTGAGCAGTTTAACGCGGTTTTGTTTTTCCTGCGGTCGGTCCTTGGAGTTTTTAAATGGTACCGAACAGACGGAAGAAGAGGTCTTGTGCGAAATTGTGTTTCCCCGTGAAAATCTGTTCCCCCTGTGTCGGGAGCGCGCGTTGCAGCCAGAGAGGCGGATCTGCCCGTTCTCAAGGCGCTCCTGATCATTTTTCAGGAAAAACAGCTCATATAATCATCTCAACTTTGTAACATCCATTTTAATCGGTTGCTCTTTTTAAAAAATTGTAAAATAAATACATTAATGAGGCCCTCTTACACTGTTTTGTCTTGTTTTTTAAACGCCAAGAGAATCGGTATTTCTCCAACTTTTGTCCCTTCAGCCTGACAAAAATAAACGTCAGTCACCGAACACAACAACACGTAGTGTATTTTTAATTTTTTATTGCTGATATAAGAGGATGGAAACTGGCTGATAGCAGGGCACACAGATTAAGACGTCCTGCGAAGATGAGAAGAATTTCTGGTTAATCACCTTCTAATGTAAAATATGAAAGATTACTGGATTAAGGACATTTATAGTATACCACATCACACATATCAATTTTAGAGAAATTGGAAACAGTTGCTCTTTATTTCCCAAAGATATGGGAGGAGGAGAGGAGAGAATGGATGTTTCAGCTGCCTGAAATAATCTGTTCCCCCTCCATAAAAGGGGAAGAAATTGATTTACCTGCAAGTCTTTAACTGTGCTTATTCCCCTCACCACCAAGAACAAATCCTGTGGATTTGGTCATATTTACTCTTTATTTGCAAAAATTAAAGGGGGGGGGGGACAGATTATTTCAGCTGTTTGAGCTGCCTGATATAATCCATTCTCCCAATAACATGGGGAAAAAAATTACCAGCAAGTCCTTAACTTTGATTCAAAAACATCTGCTCTTCATTTGATAAAGGCAAGAGGCCTTGGAATTTAAATCTTTCAATAACTATGTTAAAATAAAGTCTTGGAAGAATAAATATCAAACATAGTTTTTAAAATGTCATTTATGAAGCATTAAACAACATGCATAAACCAGCACACCACAGGAAACTCAGGAACCTAAGGCAAACATGCAAAGCAGTAAAAGCAGTAAAAGTTGGTGGGCTAGCCACACACGCCTGATGGAACCACCTCAGGCACATGTCACAGAGGATCTAGGAAAGAAACCAAAAATGTAAAGATTTATTTTAAAAATATGTCTTTGCGATTACACTACGCAATCAGTAATTTCAGATTCCCTTATATTCCAATTGCTGGAGGATCCTATCAAAAATGCATTAATAGACTGCAATGTGTAACAAGAAAAAATATTAGTTATATACTTTAACTGCTGTGATATTCCTAAACAATATGGTCATTGTACCCACCTGACTCACCAGTTCCATGCCAGGACCAATTTTGTAAATGTCAGAGTAAAACAACTTATATGCATTCACTTTTGACAGAAGGACAAAGACGTTTTTTCCAGAAAAAGCTTCATAGACATCTGATGAGGAGGAGGAGTTGAGGAGAAGTGGAAAAAGAAACAAAAGTTAAAGATTATTTTCATTATCATGGCACCTATTTCATTCAATTTTACAACATATCACATATGTTATCCAACGATATGCAATTCATGATTGGAGAATGAGAAAGTATTAACTTCACAGATTCATTCAGCTACTTTGAACATAGCAATTAATAATAAAGCTAGAACTGTTTTTTACTGACTCACTGAAATTATTCTTCATTAAAAAAAAGACTAAATTGCATATCCATACAAATACATTTTTAACAGACACATATGTATGATAATACAAAGTGAAATCTATGTGCTTTGATACATCCATCCATTTTATGTCATGCTTATCCCAAGCAGGGTCGTGAGGGGTGCTGGGGCCTATCTCCAGCTGTCTAAGGACGAGAGACAGGGTTGCTTTGATATATATTTATAAGAATTTAAAAGAAAATTTACATTTCTCTGCTAGGGATTTTCTCTGCGTATCAGGTGGTGCTGGATCAGAGGGAGATGATCCTGGAGCAGAGGGAGATGATGGGGTAGAGGGAGGTGGTGCTGGAGCAGAGGGGGAACAGATTATTTCAGTAAACTGAAATATATGGTTGCCCCGCTTTAATTTTTGCAAATAAAGAGTAAATATGACCAAATCCACAGGATTTGTTCTTGGTGGTGAGGGGAATAAGCACAGTTAAAGACTTGCAGGTAAATCAATTTCTTCCCCTTTTATGGAGGGGGAACAGATTATTTCAGGCAGCTGAAACATCCATTCTCTCCTCTCCTCCTCCCATATCTTTGGGAAATAAAGAGCAACTGTTTCCAATTTCTCTAAAATTGATATGTGTGATGTGGTATACTATAAATGTCCTTAATCCAGTAATCTTTCATATTTTACATTAGAAGGTGATTAACCAGAAATTCTTCTCATCTTCGCAGGACGTCTTAATCTGTGTGCCCTGCTATCAGCCAGTTTCCATCCTCTTATATCAGCAATAAAAAATTAAAAATACACTACGTGTTGTTGTGTTCGGTGACTGACGTTTATTTTTGTCAGGCTGAAGGGACAAAAGTTGGAGAAATACCGATTCTCTTGGCGTTTAAAAAACAAGACAAAACAGTGTAAGAGGGCCTCATTAATGTATTTATTTTACAATTTTTTAAAAAGAGCAACCGATTAAAATGGATGTTACAAAGTTGAGATGATTATATGAGCTGTTTTTCCTGAAAAATGATCAGGAGCGCCTTGAGAACGGGCAGATCCGCCTCTCTGGCTGCAACGCGCGCTCCCGACACAGGGGGAACAGATTTTCACGGGGAAACACAATTTCGCACAAGACCTCTTCTTCCGTCTGTTCGGTACCATTTAAAAACTCCAAGGACCGACCGCAGGAAAAACAAAACCGCGTTAAACTGCTCACATGAGTGCCGCAGAACGGGCAAAACGCAACTCGATTCGCTTCCATCTTGGGTCATCATGAACGCTCCGGTTATCACTTCCGGGTAAGCTTCGAAGACAGTCCCTCCCTTTCCGTAAGATTTTGTCAGTTGTAAATTTGTTTTCTGAAATGTAAATTTGTTTTATGATTTGTAAAAGTGTTTCGTTTGTTGTAAATTTGTTTTCTGAAATGTAAATTTGTTTCGAGATTTGTAAAAGTGTTTCGTTTGTTGTAAATTTGTTTTCTGAAATGTAAATTTGTTTCAAGATTTGTAAAAGTGTTTCGTTTGTTGTAAATTTGTTTTCTGAAATGTAAATTTGTTTCAAGATTTGTAAAAGTGTTTCAGATTTTGTATTGTTGGTTTGCACTTCCAGGCCACCGTACTTTCCAGCCAATAAAACGACAGCCTCGGAAAGGGTGCGCTTGTTTAACCCTACTGAGTGTGCCTGTGCTACTACGCCGCTTATAAGAGCGCCAGCTGAAACTGCTATTTACAGTAGTTTTGTGGCTGATTGTTGTTTAGAAATAGAAAACCTGGTTTCATTTCTTAGTTATGCCCTGGATTTTGTAGCGTTTGTGGACGCTACGTCGCTACTTGATCAAAACAATAACGTCGCTACAGGAAAGTTACTTGATAAATAAAGCAGCGACGCTACGGTCAAGCTACTGGAAAATGTAGTTAAACTAATAGCTTCGCTACATGTAGCGGCGCTACTGCCCATCACTGTCAGTTATATCAAAGATAAATGCATGGAGTCTATCTAGCTTGGACATTAGTCATTTGGTTTTCAGGTGATAAAAGGGTGAATGGTAACAGTCTTAATGCATCTCTGAAGGTCCAGGTCTGAGTCTGTCATGACACCAAGATTTCAGCCATAATCAACATAGCTTCTTCTGTAGTAGCTGAAGCTCTGAGCTAACTCTGAATCTTTCGTCCTTTTGCCTGAAGGTTATTGCCTCAGTTTTGTTCTTATTCAGCTTTAGAAAATTATGGTGCATCCACATATTGATCTGTTCTATGCATCTATCCAATGCTCTGATAGGTTCATAGCCACCTAGCAACATTTTGATGCAGCACTGTTTGTCATCTGCATAGTTATGGAAACTGATCTTTTGTTTGCTGTAATCTGAGCCAACCCAGGTTTCCAGACGCTCTAATAAAATCGAGTGATCAACAGTATCAAAACCCTTTGCTGAAAAATTACTGATACTAATGCAAGAAAATTAGACACGAAAAGATAAAATAATGAACTCATCATTTCAGTAAGTAGATAGAAGTTATTTTAGGCATGGTGACTGTTAGTTTTCTAATTTAAATCATTCCTTTTTTCTCTTCTAAATCACAAAGTTATGTGAATAGAAAGCTCAATATAATGTAAATCTGTCTCTACAACTCCAACATTTGTGTGTTAAGAGGATATTCTTTTATGACATAAGAATGTCTGTTAATACTGTAACAGAAACTAATCTGTTTATGTTTTCCTTACCACTACAAGGAAATCCCTTTTAGCAAATCTGTCTGCTCCTCTGTACTCTTCCCCACTTACTTACAAGCCTCTCATGCTGACCTCACATTACACAGTACAGCACACAGAGCTATCACTCCATTGAACTTGCCGACTCAAGTTAGCAGCAGTTGTCGAATAGCATGTACTTCTGTTGGCACAGAGCAGAATCACATTCATTCATGCTACTCTCTTCATGAGGAATGGAAGTTTAGTGTGGGACTCAAAAGAATAAGTGAATCCCAAGCTCTGCTGAATGACCTGCCATTTTTAATTATTACAGTTCACCAGTGATGTGATGATTTTGATATTTTTGTAAGCAGTCCGACATTAGTTTAGACTAAATCAGGCAATAGTATGTGTATTATAGTAAAAAATATATATACATAAACAAAAATGTAATTTCTAATGTGGCCTAACTAGTGATCCAGTTTTCACCAATTAAATAAATACTAAACCATGAGTTTCCGAGGAATCCTTAGGCAAACTGTTGTGGGAAAAAGATATTCAATTACACAGACCATTTTAATAAATGGAAATCAAGAGATTTCACTCAGTCGGCAGCATGACCAAACAGACTGGAGATTGCAGCACAAATATTCAGCAATCCGTGAAGTTAAGTTTCACCTGGGCCTTTAGTGTGAAATGCAATTGGGTTCCTAAGGGTTAATTGCAGGTTCAAACAAGTATCTGGGAGGTTGATGAACTACTAAATATTAAAAAAATCCTTCCACCCACCAAGTAAGGTAAACATGCCCCCTGGTATATTTAATGCCAGCCCAGGAATTCCATATTAAATATTATATTATGCAATTATTTTATATCCGGAAACAAGCGCAGCACAAACATCTGCTGAGATGGCAACGTGGCTAGCAGAAAATTATTATATCTAATAAACCAATTCAGCACAAACTGTTTTACGTACACAGATCAAGTAGTGCTGGAAAAGGTACATCATTTTGATTCAGTTTTGAGCTTATTGGAGGGATGGTAAACCTTTGGTTGACTTAAAAAAATATCTTTAATATCTGAAACAACAGTAGCACAGAGGATCTTTATTTTTATAAATGATAATTTCAACTCCACAAACGTGCATAAGTTAGCACTACCCATTTAGTCTATTTGCTGGTTTTTTCACTTTTTTGAAGTGTCAGCTTCAAGTAGTTAAAGCTCCTCCAATTTCAGGTTGTAAACACTACAAATGCAATATAGAGCGGTGAAGTCCCCCTGGTTCTTGGAGGAAATCTTCGCAGACACCTTGCTTTTTCTAAACGCACCTTTAGGAAATCCAAAAGGTAATTTGTTACATTTCATGTTGAGAGCAGGGGCAACGCTAACGACTCCAAGAAAAGAAATCTCACTGTGGCTGCCATAGCTGGTCTAGCCCACCGGAAAATCTTAATTTTGGCTCACATAACATTACATGTTAACTATACTTTTGGTTATATTTCAATATTTATGAAAAGAAACACATGACAGTAAATGGAGAAGTAACAAAAATGCTTAAAAAAGTTTATCTAGATTCAATTATTTCCTACAATACTAATATGTTATCATGCAAAATCTTTCATGTTGCGGCAACGGTAGCCACCATGTGTTCAAAAGGGAAGTGAAGACTCTACAATCTGTAATAAGACAAAAAGCCATGCGTGCACCTTAGTATCGAAAGCTACTAAACCCACAATTATGTACCAACAAGACTGACATATGTTTTTGGGATCTACTGGTCTATGCTTTCTGACTAACTAAACCAAATGGAAACATTTAACTTTACTCCAATTTAGGCAATACAGTTCACCTACCTGTCAAAGAGACATTTGGAAACTTTTAAAACCTTTGTCCTTTAGTGGCTCCTTCCACCTTGAGAATGCTTGCCTAGTAGTTCTCCTTATTTTTTGATAATGATTTAAGTTCTTTTTTTTTTTTTTTTTTTTTTTTTTACGGCAAATCCGTCCCCAAAAGTTGTGCTGTATGCATGGTACGGCATTGTGGTGCAGTAGTACAAAATTTTAGTGACACTGAGTATAGCGAAGTGATGTTCAAATACTACAGTCACAGGAGAGTTTGTCAACTTTTGGATAAAAGGCAAGAGCATTTTTTATGCTTTTGATAATGATCTAAGAGCAAAATTAATCTCTTGCTTTTTTGAATTGTAAGTTATATCTGAAGAGGAGGGGAGGGGTTAAGGGGTGGTACACAGTTTTTGATATACCTGCTGCCTGTAATTTTGTGCAACTAAGTTCAGCACACAGTTAAAAATCTAAGCTCACAGTGAGATTAGTCAGATGCAATTAAATCTCTCTCAAGCTTGCTCAATACTTGTCTGATAATTCCGTAAAAGTTTTTAAAAAATCCACTGGACTTGGTTTCCAAGATTTTAAGATGTTTCTCCACCTCTCCAGGAAGCTTTCTCAATTCAATGTCTGGATTCACAGTGAGTTTGAGTCTTACAGTATATAGACAAGGCCTTGTATTGCTTGGAAACATGCAAATGGAAACCGATGAGTGGGTCGTTTGGTTCCATTTGTTAGCCTGTAATATCTGACCTGTCTATGAATCTGAAAGTCGGTCATTAAAGGGGGGGATTGTCTCCTGTAATGCCTGAAACCTGTCTATGAT